CATAGACAACCAGAAGCGTTTGGCAGCCTTGGAGGCAAGGCAGAAAGCAAAAGAAGTGCAAAAGAAGCTGGTGCATAATGCTCTAGCAAATTTGGTGAGTGTATTTTCAATCTATGCTTTTAACAAGAACTTTCTCAAAGTCCAACTTTTCCTTCCCCTAAAGGTAGTTCTACCCTCTAAGAGCTAATTGTCTTAGTGTTTACCAGTTTCATGTTTTATGTCTTTGAATTATTTTTTTATATCCTGAAGGAACTGAGATTAAATTCTGTTTACTAAAAACATGCTTAATTACTTTGTTTTTATCTAAAATTTTCCTTTCATTTAGAATAGTGGTTCTCAACCTATAGGTCATGACCCCTTTGTAACAAAGAAAATACATCCTGCATATCAGATATTTACATTACGATTCATAACAGTAGCAAAATTACAGTTATGAAGTAGCAACAAAAATAATTTTATGGTTGGGGGTCACCACAACATAAGGAACTATATTAAAGGGTTGCGGCTTTAGGAGACATTAGGAAGGTTAAAAACCACTGATTTAGAAGCTATTACTGGTATGGTTAAATAATATATCCTAATATGTCTGGACTTACATATAAATCACTTACGAAATGATTTATGTACCTTGCCAACTCTTGCCAAGATTACTGTAATGTACTTTTGGTCTATCTTCCAAGAAAAGTGTTACTGTTAAGTAAACCTTTATAGTAAATGCCAGATTTACAGATGAGGATGATGGTTCTGCCTCTTGTGCAGTTACTGGCTTATGGTTTGGCAGATAGATAGTCCCAGCTTAGTTCCATGGGGCAGAGAGGGGATATGTCTCTGGGCCCTGGCAGGATGCAGGAGAAGTACCAAGCCTATCAGGAGCTTCCTCAGCTTGAGCCAAGTAGTGTGAAAGGATAAATGGTAATTGATCAGGCACAGGTTCGAGAGAGTCGGAAGGAAAAAGAAAGCCATTCCAGTAAAAAGGAACAGTCTGAACAATAGTGAATATTTTCAGTCAGTCTGACTGAATTATAGAGTGTGAGGTAGTAAGAGTTGTGAAGAAGCTCTATAGCTTCTTCACATAAAGTACAGTTGTACTTTATGCTTAAGGCTCTGAAAAAAATGAAGAATTTTAAGCAAAGGAATGAAGATTAGTTGTGCTCATTTCAGAACACGAGTTGGTGAACTATAGTTTGCAAGTGATACAGCCCATGGCCTATTTATGTATCACCTTTAAGCTAAAAGGTGTATTTTGAGTACAGGACAGAGACCATTTGTGGCCTGCAAAGCCTGATTACTCTCTGTCCTTTACAGAAAAAAGTTTGGTGACTTTGGTTTGGGAGAGATTTTTCAAGCTATGATGAAAACAAATCAAATGGGTGGAATCTGGAACTAGAGAAAGCCTTGGGGCGGTTGAGAACCAGAACCAAAGCAACCACAATGGGAATAGATTTAAGAGATACCAAGAAGGCTGACATGATAGGACTTGGTGATAACTGGATAGGGAGAGAAAGAAGATTGTAAGTTTCTGTCTTGGGCAAATAAATGGATGATGATGACATTCACTAGACAAGGAAAAAGGACAGAAAGTAGACTTGGGGGTGGCATCTGTGGCTCAAGGAGTAGGCACCAGCCCCATATACTGGAAGTGGCAGGTTCAAACCCGGCCCTGGCCAAAAACTGCAAAAAAAATGAAAAAGAAAGTAGACTTGGCCAGGAAAGGACATGATAGGTTTGGATGTGTTCAGTTTGATGTTGAGTCGTTTTAAGATGTAATGCTATTGATGACCTCCCTAGGATGGTCATCCAGAAGACAAGCCAACACACATCATCTTTGGTTCCGACAGTGAAAATGAAACAGAAGAGATACCCACTAAGGAGCAGAGCCATC